CGATTAATCGAAAAATCAATTTTTTTTGCCCAGCCCTAATTATAATGGCTTTCTTTCGTGTTGTAGAACACAAAATAGCAATTGTTTTACATTTGAGATACAGGTTTTTACAAAAATAAAAGATCAAATGATAAACCTCACAATTGAGCCTTTAAACTGACTTTATGACTCAGAAGTATAAATTATGTTCATTTAAAACTGGATTTTCGCACTGGTCTGAACAAAAACAGCAGACGGGAAAATGCACATTCATTCTCTGCCAGCAGGAGGCGCTTTAGAGCGGCAGAAATACAGCGGTTTCCCCGGTAACGGCAGTAAACAAAGCAGCGCTGCCCTCATAAACGCGACTCGATCAGATAAAACACCGTCGACACTTTTCTGAAGACAGTCGGTTCCCTTCAGAGATTCATTCATATAAAATCTTGAATTAGTGAGAACGAGAAAGCTTTGTTCGATTTCTCTATATAATTTAGTCGCTGTTTGAATAACGATGGAGATTTAAGAGTAACGTCTTTGGATCGCGCATGTACGTACAGTACAATGTTTCCCTTTTGTCTCCCACACACAAATGCCAATGTTGTGATCGTGATGTGTGTGTTTGTCAGAAACCGGATGAGCGGCCGAGCTTCACTGAGCTCTCGCTGATGATCACAGACGAGCTGGAGGCCGACGGACCCGCATCGTGAGCTCTGATTGGACGCCTGACGCTCCAATCAGCGCTCTCCTCATGAGCTCATGACGGCTTCGCAACGGCTCGGGGCCACGCCACGGATCCAGATCTTCACCGGCCGTGCTGAAGGGCACGGGGCCCAATGAGACGCTCCAACGCTTGGTTCCTCCTCATATGAACCTGTATTTATGACTGTGACCGAGTCAGTCTGAATGTACGTGTGTCGATCTGCTGTAAAGTGTCAAATAAACCTCAGACGAGTGTTGATGGAGTCGGAGTCGGTTTCACTGAACTCACAGACTCACACACACACACACACACACTCACACATAAACTAACACACACACACACTCACACATAAACTAACACACACACACACTCACACATAAACTAACACACACACACACTCACACATAAACTAACACACACACACACTCACACATAAACTAACACACACACACACTCACACATAAACTAACACACACACACACACACACATACACTCTCACACACAACACACACAAACGCACAATGTATTTTCCTCATCATTAATTCATGAACACTGACGCTAATCAGATGTGCCTCCTGATATCTGAGCGAACACACACACACACACACACTCCTGTCGCTGCAGGTGTCGGTCGGTGATGTCGGGTTCCTCGTGACTGAAGGTAAGACAAACTCACTCACTCACACACAGACAGACAGAAAGCAGAAGGAAGCTGACCAGAAGGATGTGGCTCGTGTAGAAACATCAGTTCTTGAGAAAGCGCCTCTGAGCTGCACGTGACGCGCGTTATGCTGTTTCAGAAGCAAATATGAGCGTCTCCTCTAGAATTACCTCATAGCACATCACGGAGACTCGATATCTGCATTACATCTGCAAGACGTCTACAGGACGTTTCCTCTCAGATGTCAAATAGACGTTTAGAAGATGTTTATGATGTAAAACTGGCATCTTAGAGACGTCTATCAGATGTTTGCACACAGCAGATGCTTTCCAGATCTTTAACAGACCTCTAGCAGACGAACCTGTGCTATCTGGGTTATTCAGTTCACCCACAAATGTTCATTCCGTCATCATTTACTCGCCCTCGTGTCGTTCAAACTAGTCTTCTGTGGAAAGCAAAAGAAGATATTTTGAGAAATGACATCAGCTTAAGTAAATGATGATATCTGAGTGAAATTTCCCTTTAAAGCTCATTCTCAGGAATGTTTGGACTGTTTCTTCTGAACTTCCCAGAAATCATGTTTTCGGACTCAAACTGTGATCAGACAGACACTGAAGGACCATCAAGCCCAAACCAGCAAGCCTGCTTCTTCAGCTGTGACCCACAATCCTAGATGTGTGCTCAGCACTGCTACTGCTCTCACATTAATAACCATAATGCAGCATTTCAGTGCAAAAGCGTCTCAACACTTCACATAATTCACAGTCAGTGATGGCTTTCTGCAGATTATTGATGAATGGGGTGTTTTTCATTTGAATCCTGCCAGAAGCAGGGTTATTATCATTAACTAAGACTTAAAACATGTTTGTCAATTGCAATAAAGCTTAAAAAAATGAAAACTTAAATTAAATGAAAATTAGAAATGTTGCCTTAGCAAGAAACTGAAAGAAGTTTTAAGTGGAAGCACTAAAATCACTAAATGGAAATGAGTAAATACAAATAAAATTGAATTAAACCTAAATAGTAATATTTAAAAATAACAAAAATGAATTAAAATGACATGACATAAAATTAATCATATTTTTTTTTAATGAAAATTGAAAATATAAATAATCAAATTCCAGATATAAACAGCAACTATAGCAGTATACAGTAAATAATACTAAAATAACACCGGTGACTAATGTGGCCCGAGAGCTTGTTCTTAAAGGGAAAATGGGTTTGAACAACATTTATGAAGCATTTTATGAATTAACATCCACAACTTAAACTGATTCTTTTTATCCTTTTAAGCAGGATTAGATTAATGTAATCATATCCGATCCAGTTAAATGTAGGCCTGAGATGGTGATGGAGAAAGTTGTGTGAGCGTGAGAATGGCGTTCAGGTTAAATGTCAGATGTTATAACGGCTTGTTCTGTAACTCAATCTCCCTTCAGCATTAAAGATTCATGCCTCAAATTTGTAGGATGGTCAATGATTCATGTGCTGGAACATCCTTAACGTGACGTCGATATTCTGCAGAATGGATTATTATTTTGACACAAACCACACTCACAGGAACAAACTAAAGCCCTAAAATTAATATTTCCACACAACACCACTTCCTCAAACACACACACATCCTGTCAGCCGTTATGATAGCCGTGTTTGTGTGTTTGTGTGTGTGTGTTTGTGTGTGTGTGTGTTTGTGTGTGTGTGTTTGTGTGTGTGTGTGTGTGTGTGTGTGTTTGTGTGTGTGTGTTTGTGTGTGTGTGTTTGTGTGTGTGTGTTTGTGTGTGTGTGTGTTTGTGTGTGTGTGTTTGTGTGTGTGTGTGTTTGTGTGTGTGTGTTTGTGTGTGTGTGTGTGTGTGTGATGTAAACCTGTGTGTGTCTGTGTGTGTGTGTGTGTGTGTGTGTGTCTGTGTGTGTGTGAGTGTGTGTCTGTGTGTGTGTGTTCAGATGTCCCATCATCACTCCCGTGTGACGTTTCATCATGTGATCGGGAAGGCGGCGGTGAAGGGGCGGTGCTACCACGGCCTGTCAATCACACGCAGCGTCCAGGACAACCAATTCTGTGCTGTCAATCCACGCTTCATCGCCATGGTGACCGAGTGTACAGGAGGCGGGGCCTTCATTGTCATTTCCGTCCGTCAAGTAAGGCCACACCCCTTTGACCCAACCCTGCTCTGATGAAGTGTGTGTGTCAGCATGTGTGTGTGTGTTTCAGACGGGCCGTGTGAGTCCTCTGCAGACGCGGGTCTGCGGTCACAGTGCTCCTGTGCTGGACATCAAGTGGGACCCGTTTAACGACCTGCGCCTTGCGTCCTGTTCGGAGGACTGTACGGTCAGTTTCCATGGCGACCTGTTCAGGTGTGCTGTGCACATGGTCTCTATGACAGCAGCGGTTGTCTGTGTCTGTGTCTGTGTGTGTCTGTGTCTGTGTCTGTGTCTGTGTGTGTGTGTGTAGGTGAAGGTGTGGGACATTCCTCCGAACGGACTGAAGGACGATCTAGTGGAGCCCAGTAAAGATCTGAACGCTCACAGCCGCAGGGTGTCAATCATCGAGTGGCATCCAACCGCCAAAGACCTGCTGCTGAGCTCCGCCTACGACTGCAGAGTATGACACACTCACTCACTCACACACACACACACACACACACTCACTCACTCACTCACTCACACACACACACACACTCACACACTCACTCACTCACACACTCACACACACACTCACTCACTCACTCTCACACACACTCACACACTCACTCACTCACACACTCACACACACACTCACTCACTCACTCACTCACACACACACACACACACACACTCACTCACACACACACACACTCACACACACACTCACACACTCACTCTCACACACACACACTCACACACACACACACGGCAGCTCTGTTCCCTAGTGAGTCGACTATGTAGACTGCTCTGCACTCCTGACTTTATGATAGCTTGTTTTGGCCAGATTCAAAGCGCTGCACTCACTCTTTATGCTGAAGGCAATCCCACAATGCTTTACAACATACCAAGTCAAGTCAAATGTATCTACAGTGGGTACGGAAAGTATTCAGACCCCCTTAAATTTTTCACTCTTTGTTACACAAAAAGTCATAATGTCTGTAGTGCCAGAGAGCCCAACTGCTACTCAAACAAGTCCAATCGCGTTCCAGGGGTGCAGAGGATTTAGTTTGAACCCGCAGGACTGAAAAACAGCCTGAGTCAACCCTGAAAAACAACAGTATAAAAAACACAATTGTAGTGTTAGCCGGAGAATAAGCCGTTGTGAGAATGCAGACAGATGTACTGATGTGGTGGATATGGATCATGTTTCTGACACGCTTGTTTGTGTAGAGCGCTTGAAATCATCAGTGTGTGTGTGTGTGTGTGTGTGTGTGT